TATGTACATGTGTGTGTGCCCACACGCTAGTTAATACGGTATGTTTCTTTTTGTTTTATGTCAGGTTTGTTGAGGCATTTACGTACATAGTACATAAAATTCATCCTTTTTAGTGTGTAGTACTATGATATTTGACAAATGGATAACTACCATCTGACAGCTGTATAACTACCATCATGATCAACCATGGCTGGCGCGGTTCAGTGGTTGACTGTCAACCTATGAACCAGGAGGTCACAGTTCAATTCCTGCAGGAGACAGCCAATAAATAATTCTCCGTTATAATTGATGTTTGTATATCTCTCCCCCTCTCCCTTCCTCTCCGAAATCAATTAAAAAAAAAAAAAGAAACGTGACTTCCTGGTTTATAGGTTGTCGCTCAACCATTGAGCCACACCAGCTGGACAAGACTTCATTTTTAAAGCAGTTTTAGGTTCATAGCAAAATTGGGGAGAAAGTGCCCACAGGCATGCATGGCCTCTCCCATTAGTATTATCTCCTACCAGAGTGGTACATTGTTACAATTGCTGAACCTATAATGACACTTTATAATTACCCAAAGTCCATAGTTTTACATTCACTCTTGGTGTAATACACAGAATGCATGTAGACAAATGTATGACATGTATTCATCATTATGGTATACAGAGTATTTTCACTGCCATATTAAAAAGAGTAAAAAAAGAAATAAGTTAAATTAATTTTAATAACATTTTTTAACCCATGATATCTAAAATTTTATAATTTCAACATGTAATCAATAGAAGATTAACACGATTACATTCTTTTGTGTGTGCCGAAACTTGGAATTTGTCTCAATGAAAATTAGCAACATTTCAAGTACTCCATAGTCACTGCATTGAGCAGGGCAGTTCGAATGTATCTCCTTGCTTGTGGCATTTCTCCCTTCCATTCGATTTTTAACGTGGTTGTGTCTATAATGTAATCACACCACTCCCACCCCTCTAATACTCTCCAAAATCAGGTCTGCAATAGATGTACAAAAAGTCCAACTTTCTTAATGTTCCCTCATTCATTCAGTGTCTTTAAAGTGACCACCACGTGCCAGGAACTCCAGGATGTTTCCAGTGATCAGCCAGATCTGGTCCCTGCACCTGAGTTTTCACTGTACTGGGAATGTAAGCTCTGTAAGAGCCCGGTAAATCAGGCTCTTCCCATTGTATGAACTTGAGCCTACCCTTTCTCCCACCTGATGGTTTCCTAACCAGGTAATAATAATAACAAACATGTAGTGAGTATCTCTTAGATGTCAGGTGGTATGCTAGATGCTTTATTTAATCTTCATTTGCTGACCCACCAGGAGAGCACCATTACCCTGAATTTACAGGTTCCAAAAGGAGGCTGGCAAGGAGGCTGGATGGGGAGATGTTTCATCACCGGACCACCCTGTTTCTTCAGATCAATGCCACCGATCTTGCTGTTACTTCTCCCAGGAATGCCCTTCTTCCCCATCCTTCTCCCATTGTGAAATTGCATCATTCCCATTCATGACTCAGATGAAATCTACTCTATTTCTCCATAGCCTTTTCAAATACCTTTTTCCCACAGGTGGCAGCCCCTTTCCCCTTCCACCTCTAGCAAAAGGCGTCCCATTCTCTTTCATTGTGATTCCCTGATTTGTGTGAGAGAGGTACACATTTCATAGTTGGTGCGTGCATGTGTGTATGCGTGTGTGTGTGTGTGTGTGTGTGTGTGTATGTAATATACATTTGTGCATCTATATATTGATAAACACAAAACTTCCTAAGAATTGGTCTCTCCCTTCCCCAACCCCCCAAAGTTTTCTGTAGGCCTAGCCCTAGAAATAAAGAACAATACTTTTTTCAATTCTTTTCCTTTTGTTTTTCCCATGGAGGCTGCCCTGGGGTTCTTGCAAACACCATGCCAAGGATTTTAGTTTTCTTTATAGGGGCATATAATTGGGAACATTTACATTTCAGCCATGACCAAGAAGAGGCCAGGAAGAGATACATAATTTGTCAGGGGATCCTCTGCTAAAGGTTAAAGATGGCTTTTCAAAACGACAAGCTGCTATTTGTCTTGACAAACTATGCCCTGGCTCAAGAGAATGGCTGGCTGGGGGAAGATTATTCCTTTCTCAAGATAAAGATCTTGCCAAGAGGTTGTATCCAAGTCCTGCTAGTATTACCTGCTGTTCCAGAAACCCAGGAAGTATCCTGCATTTCGGGATTCAGCTAACTGTCATTAATTTAGGTGGTACAAGTTCATTGTTGGTGACAACCTTAGAGGTTCATTTTCTCCTTTGTTTAGCAAACGTTCCCTTGTGCTATATTTTGGATGGATAGTTAAAATACTTGAGAGAACAATTTGCCTTTCAGCACCTTGGAACATTTTATAGCCTTCTCCATTTGCATGAAAGCAATTTTAACACATTATCTTTTTCATTCACAACCATTACCTTGGGATGAACTCTGGCTGAGAATGAATTAAGTGGGCAATTGAGAATAACAAATTCTGTAATTCAGACCGTTACCACATTATTTTTCTGGCTGTTAGGATGAAGTGAGGAGTAGAAGTGCATGACAACACAGAAGTAAAAAAAAAAAAGGCTTATTTTTTATTTTTGCAAAAACGAATAAGAGAAACCTATTTTCTAGCATGGTCTGGCAAGCATATATTTAGAAATCCTTCTTGAAATCGGCTACCTAGTTCTTTCAAAGGTTTAGCTCCTACTTTGTTCCTGTCTTGAAAGATGTTGGCTTCCTCTCTTTCTCCCCAAACATGTACTGAGAGATACTAGGCCTGAACACTCTTCTAGGGTTACTAGAAATATAACAGCAAACACAAAAAAATTTTTACTATTTTTTTTTTACTAATTTTAATATTTTTTATTGATTTTTTTTTTAAAGAGAGGATGGGAGAGGGATAGAGATAGAGAGTTAGAAACATCGATGAGAGAGGAAACACTGATCAGCTGCCTCTTGCACACCCCCTACTGGGGATGTGCCTGCAACCAAGGTACATGCCCTTGACCGGAATCAAACCTGAGACCCTTCAGTCCGCAGGCCAATGCTCTATCCACTGAGCCAAACCAGTTAGGGCAGTAAACACAAAAAAACTTGCTGCTTGAATGATACTTAAATGAGTATGTGTGTGTGTGTGTGTGTGTGTGTGTGTGTATAGAAACAGAAAGCATAATAAAGCATAAAATATGTAGGATGTTACAAGTGGATAAATACTGTAAAGATATATAAACCAGAGAACTAGAATGTGTTCTGTATCTACTAATTAGTTTTATAGCAGGGGACCTGCATTTTAAGACAACCCAGACCGAATTTTTCAATATTAATCATATTCACCTTAGAGACTTGATATGAGCACAAGTGATTGGCACCTCAGACAAATTTTGGAGGCTTAAAATGTGTTTGACCCCTCTTACTCCACATTCTTTCCTTTCACTCTTATTTCATCTGTTCTTCTCTTTTCTATATTGTTTTCCATCTTTGTTTAGTGAAGCATTAGAATGGTGCAATAGAAAGAGCAATCCCAATGACTGGGACCTAATTGTTGTGAGCCTCAGCTTCCTCACCTGTGAAGTGGAGATAATAAAACATAGCATTTTGTAATGTGGTGACGATTAGAGATGAGCATGTTTGCAAAATGTCACAGTCTCTCATTGCAGGCCTCTTAAAACGGTAGCCATGACAATGGAAGCACATTTGCTCTAATATGATTAAGAGAAGACTGTGTGCCAGCCTCGAGGGAACTCCGGGAAATGAGAACAAAAGGGGACTAGGACTCCAACCAGGTAGAGTCATCCAGCATCCTCAACTATTTCCCACAAAGCCTTTGCTAATATCCTATTGCAGACAAATAGGATGTGAGCTCCAGACCCGTTGTGATAGTTTTCCTTCCATCGCATTGATTTAGCTCTTCTCAACAAAACCTTTTTATCTTCTTCTTTTTTTTTTTTTTTAAACACGCAAGATAGCTCTGTTAACAATAATGCTTATAAAAAGCATGTTATGTGTCAGGCCCATGTATGGCTTGAAATTTACCTAGCTCTTCAATGACCCTGTGTGGCAGGTCCCTTCATCATCCATCCCCTGTTAGAAGGTATCTGGAGGCGAACTGAATGGGGGCCTCTCGGTCAAGCGGCAAGCACACGAGGCTACCGGGTCAGGAGTACTCCCTCTTTGACAGGCCCGGAGTAGGGGTTCATGCCTACTGAACCGAGGGGGGAAAAAACTTGCAGGAAGCCTGGAGACCCATTAGCGGCTTTTGGGTTCCGGTGGGGGCCCTTGAAAAGGGTGGTATCCTCCTTCCCTCCTGCCTTTAAAGAAATTGGTGAGGAGCTAGGGGCGGCGGTGGTGACCCCTCCCCACTTCTAAACTTCAGGGGAATCTCCGACCGGGAAAATGAGTTAGTCATTTAGTAACAGTCATTTCGGATTTTACAAAGAGGGGCGGGGCCTCCAGAGGAGGTGGCATGGGTGTGTGTGTGAAGGGACTTGTGCGCAACTCGCGAGCCGCCGATTGGCTGGGGCCGATGCCCGTCCCGCCTCCTCCGGACCCACCTCCGGTGGCCTCGCGGCGGGCCCGCGGGTGCGCGGGGGAGGCCGGCGGTGCCAAACTGGCAGGGGGCGTGGCGCCAGGCGCTGGGGGCGGGGCCAGGGCGCCCGGGGGGCGGGGCCAGAGCGTTGCGCGCGTCACGGGCTGCGGCCCCGCCCCCGGGTCCCTACGCGGCTCTCTCCTCTACCCCCGCCCGCTCCGGCCGCTCGCTCAGTCCTCCCTCCACGTTCCACGCCGCGGCCGCGCCGCAGCCCCGCGAGAGGCAGCCCCGCGCTCGCTGCGTGCGCCCGCGCGCCTCGCACCTCGCGCGCCCGCTCGCCCGGCTCGTCCCCACGCGCGCGCCTCGCGCACGGACACACGTTCGTTTCCCCTCGCGCCTCCGGCTCTCGGCGGCGGCGGCGGCGGGCGGACACACGGTAGCGGCCGCCACGGGCTGGCCGGCGGGCCATGGAGGCAGATGGGGCTGGCGAGCAGATGAGACCGCTACTCACCCGGGTAACCAGCAGGGTGAGGGCGCCGCGGGCGGCGGGGATCCTTGGCCGGGGGTTGGGAGGGGGAGTTTGGGGGGGACGCGCGGAGCGAGGCAGACAAAGGCGGGGGGCGCGGCGGACGTCGCGGTCTGGCCACCCGGTCCGGGCCCGGCGCCCCCTCTTAGCGCCCCGCGGCCGGCGCGGCTCTCCATCCCCTTTGTGTGGCGGCCCCGGGCGCGGGTGCGAGCGGCGGGCGGCGGCGGCGAGCCGAGGAGGCCCGAGTCGGGGCGGCCGGCAGCGCGCCGCGCGCATCCTCGCCGCCCGTATCCCCGGCGCAGCTGGGGCGCGACCCCGGGCACCCCCGCCGGGCCCGGCCTCCCTCCCTCCCGGGACCCCGGACCCCTCTCCTTTCTCTTTCTCGTGCTCGTCCCCTAAATCCCCGTGCGTCCTCTCCGGCCGGGGTCTCCGTCCCGGTGGCCTGGGCGCCGGAGTTCACAGGAGCCCCCCTCGAAAGCTCATCCTTCTCCTCCTGCTTCTCAGGGGGAGCCGGCTCCACCTGTCTCCGGCCCCAGGTCGTGGGGACGAGCTCGGGGGAATCTTCCTTTTCCTTCTCGGTCCTTCCTCGTGTTCCCTCTCGCCCCCCCAAGCCGGTCCTGCTTTGCGCTTTGTTCGGGGAGTTCTCCGGCCGCGTGGACGGCCGCCCGCCTGCCTTCCTCCGCGGCCACGGCTTCTGGTCGCTGCCGACGGTGCCCGGCCCGCCTCCTCCTCCTCCTCCTCCTCTTTTGGCGAAAACCGGAGGAGTCTCCTCCCGCCGCAGGCCAAGGGGAAAGAGGAAGGTGCCCGCAGCCTCCGCGCTGCGCCTCCTTCCATCCGCCCGGCGACAGCGCCTTTCCCGGAGGAGAGTCTTGGCTTTTGGCTCCGGGCTCAGCATCCGAGGGCACTGGGGGGTGGGCTTTCCAAGGGTCGGGGTGCCCCCTTTGGGATGCTGGCCACCCCCGGCAGGCAAACCACGCTCCAGACACGGACTTCCTGCTCTCATGTGGAATACATGTGTTCCCCCCACCCCCCCAACAGTTGGGGTTCTCTCTCTCTCTCTCTCCCTTCGTGGTTCCTGACTTCAAGGCGCATGGAGGTGTCACACATTTTCCGATTTCCAGTTCTTGCTCCCTGCCCAGCAGCAAAAGGGAGATTTTGCCGTGGAAATTTTCCAGGCTTTCACAGCTAGCAGGAAAATTGCTTTCCACGTGTTTGTGTTAATGATTTTCCTTAACACTCTTCCCCCCCACCCCCACCCCCGCGCCCCGCATCTTTTGAAGGATGGTTGTAAGGCCCGGGCAGGGAGAGGAGTCATTCATCATGTTAGTCTGTTCACTTACGAATTTTCAAAACACGGAGGGAGAAAAACTGAATCTCTAGACAGTGAAGTCATTATTTAGCCGTGGTTCTTGAGATCATTCGTAGTGACGGTAATGGAATCTTCTGTAATGGTGTGCCCTTTTTTGAGTAAACTGTCTAAGCACCTCCTCTAATTGTGCGTGTCGCATAGTGTTGTTTGGTCTGAAATTGGTGATTTGCAAAATTTTCTGTTCGGACCTGAAAAGAGCCCCCGAGTTTTCATAAAGCTGGGTAGAGTCTGTGATGTCTTCTCAAATAGTGCCTGCTTAGCGAGCAGAGAAGCATACAAATCATTCATTCATTCATTCATTCATTGTAACAACATTTGGAACCTGTTGTGTAGTATCCAGCAAGACAGAACTTAAGTTAAATTACGCTTTCAAGCGACTCAGGAATGACCAATGTATATTTTTTTAATTTAAATTCTTTATTGTTTAAAGTATTGCATAAGTCTCCCTTTTCCCCATTGACCTCTCCCCGGCGGCACGCCCTCTCCCCCCCCCCCCCCCCACACACACATACACTGTCTGTGTCCATTGATTATGCTCAGATGCATGCATAGAAGTCCTTTGGTGATCAAACACTATTAATGGTATGGCAGGGGAGCCCTTTGGAAGGGTCTGCCTTCTAAATCTTTGGGGGGAAGTGAACATACAAATCAGTAATACAAATAACATACAAAAGGCTATTATACAGTCACAAAATAGGATGGGAGAACAGGAAGTCTGGTTTTAGTAGTAGAGAACACTGTAACTTGAAAACGGACAAGAGGAACTATTTACATTGACAAAGTTAAATCTTTCATCACTGATTCCCCCCCCCCCCCTTAGTAAATGAAAGTTATAAAAAGGGAAGATAATTATATTCATCAGTCATAACTCCTCCAACTCATGCCAGCTGCTTAGCATAAAAAAAGGAGCATAAAATTCATAAAATGCTACCTTAGGTATGTAATTATGCAAACATTTTTGAATAGATTGGTGGCAGTTTATAGTCTGAAATTTGAGCTCGTCTATTTCATAATACAGGCTCAAAGATTATTTTTCCTCCTACAATTCTGTAATTCTCATTGATCATAGTTTTGGGATAGAGAGGGACGTCATATCTTGTAGAAATACAACTTTTTGCTTTGTTACAAAAACTTATCATTGTAGGCCTCCCTTAGAATTGATTGAACTCTCAGTCTTATTTTCTGGTAGAGATTAAATCCTGTTAGAACAAGTAGCATTGTTTGGTTCTCAAGTCTTAGCAAATGGTCTTTTAAGCAGTACATGATTTAATACAGTTCTGTTACCACTGAAATTGTGGGGCTGTTCCATGAATTTTATTGTAATATTTCATTCATTTTATGAATATTTATCTACTACATGCCAGGCACTGGGGTTAGAGGCAAACAAACCTTACTGAATTGGCAAGTGTAGTGAATACAGGGATAGTGCTTGCATTCTTGCTAATTTCATTTGTGAGCTCCAGTTAAAACGTTTTCATGAGTTTGCTAGAAATACATTTCTAAAAAGTAGTCATTGGAATAAGTGAAAGGCATTAACAACTCAGTATGCGTTCAGCAGTGATTGTCAAGTAGGAGGTTTTTGATATGTCTGTAAGTATCTCTTTCGGCATCTGTGGTTAGCTATCGATAGTTTTGGAGAAAATGTGTATCCCAGGCATAATATCAGGATTTTAAGTTACCTTTTTGCCTTCTAGCTGGTATATCTAGGGCCACAATTCATGGCGTTGTAATAAGGGCGAGACAGCAAAGCTGTGCAAATGAAACTGTATAACAATTAATTGAGTTGGATTGAAGAATTGTTTTGTGTGACAGTTGAGGCTGGGAAGTACACAGGTTCTCTTCTAAGAGAGCTTAGGCTATGAAAATTAGAGTGTTTTGTAACACTAGACTCCTGTTACTTGAGTAGGTTAAAATCGAAAGCCTAAGTAACCTGGTGTTGGAGGAAGGAACCTGGTATATTATTTTAGTGGTATGTGGTGTGCTAACCAATATATTCTAAAACCTTGGTAGTTAACACTTGTCAACATCCTGTGGTGGGTTGTTTTTCTTCCTCTTTATTTCCCCTTCTGTCTTACTGTATTTTACCACACAAATATGATCTTTGATGGGAACTGCAACTGACAAAAATGGGCCATGTATGTAAAAAAAAAAAAAAAAAAAAAGCATGCAGGTGATTCATAGGATTAATGTTTCACATTAGTCAGTCTCTGGCTTTTGACTTGCCATATTATATCTTCCTTTCTCTAGGTGTCACTTTTTAGATGTACATATTTTTAGTTTTGCATTAAAAATGTATCAGTAATAAAGACCTGTGTTTACATATAAAAAGCACAGTTAGTCCCCCCTTTCCTTGGCTCCTCTTTTGAATGAGAAGTTTTGATCCCTGTTAGAAAGCAGGTAGCCATTCCAACATTCTAGCTTACAATGAAGTTTGCTTCTATTTTTGTTTAGCAGACAACTTGGGGTATTTTGTGGAGTGACACGTGTGGGATTTTGCAGCTTGGGAAAATTTAGGATTATTGGAATGATAATGATAACAGACCATGCAGGGGTCTGTGGTTGGCATATTGTTAGGATAGTATCCAGCAGTGCTACATTCCCCAGGGCAGAGGGCTAGCAGACTGGAGTGGTGCTGGGTTTCTAACGAGTGGCTTTTTGCTTCCATGGGCTAGGGCAGGCATTTTTATCTAAATGCTAAGAGATGAGGGTGGCCAAACACTTTTTCAGTGCCGCTTAAGAAGATAAATATGGTTATGTGATAGATTTGCAATTTTATCTGGAACTAATATGCCAGTACAGAAAGGTTCTAGAATGGCTATTTTAAGAAGATTTTAAAATTTCCTTTTAAAAAGGACATTGTAAAATACTTCAGTTTTTCTTAACCTATAGTTTGGTTTTTAATAAGTTCATTTAAGCAGGAGTTTTTTTTTGTGCTTTCTTTCTTTCTTTTCTTTTTTTTTTTTTTTTGACAGTATTTAAGTCAACGGTAAAGCACATTTCACAATGAAATAGAAAAGATGCTTTACTGTTTTAAATATGCTTTCTCCCAGTTATCTGATAGGATTTGCTTTGCTTGATATCATTAATTGCTAAACATGATCCATGTGAATATGCTTTTTTGCTTTGCACCAAGTATTCTTCATGTTGAATTCTCTGCTGTTTATTCATTAGTTTTGCATGGAAAGTGTTCTGGGTTTCCTGTTAGTGTTTCGAGTATTAATGGTGCCATAGGTAATATACCACTGTCTATTTAAAATTGCTTTAAAAATAGATGTGACCATGGTGCATATGGATTGATCCCAATGGTCCATGAAGCTCCAGAAACTGAAAAATTGTATGCTTGTATGCATTCTTTCCAGGAAGGGTCAAATAACTTTACATTCAGATCTCAAAGGTTTCTTTTTAATTAAAAAACCAGCTAAGGAATTCCTTCTCCAAAAATGAGCTCAGCTTGCTTTTGTGCCTTCCTTAAAAAGTTCACACTCTCATATTTTTCTTAAACAGAAGACAGTGCTTATTACATCCACCCCAGTATATGCTCAAGTTTGTTTTGTATGTACAACATCTACAGAAGGTTTTGCCATAGAATCTTCCTAAAGCCAGATAAGTTTGGGAAATGC